TATGCGATTTTGATATTATTTTATATTATGTTGTGGTTACACGAACCTGCATTTCAGAAAAACATCATAATTTCTAAGACTTACATAATATAACAAAGACCGCAGGGGGTTTGAAAGCTGGGGAGTACACATTGGGAGTCTTTACAGATGTTATGGGTGTCGTTTCACAATGCTACTTTTTACTCCATGCACTCGGCGGCTTGACGGAATGGAGTGGACGAAAAAATCTTAAGATGAATCCATTCCTAATTATCTGGAACGTTGTTGACAGTATTCGACGAAGATGGCAAGGGAGAGTTAGGCAGGGGACACCCCCTCGCCCCTCTTGTGGTATTCGTTAGTGGGCGATGGGACGTGAGCGGTATAAGCCTTACAACGACATGGACATAGTGCAGCGAATTAAAATACAGTGGCTCCCCTGGCTTGGTCATATCGTTCGAATGGGCGCAGATTCTCTAGCCCTGAAAGTATTCACCTCGAAACCCGCGGATCGGTAAACCTTTAAGAAGACTTGGGATCTGAGACGGGCTATGGTACTTTGGGCAGTTTGGCTTTATTAAAATCTCTAGACGCATGCAAATTGGCACCAAGAACTGTAGAAAACTGTGAAGCAAAGTTACCCAGTGATGAGGGTTTCTAAGGCACCGAAAGAGAGGTGGAAGTAGATCCCATATTGTCCACAACATTTTTTTGATCCATCTAGCAGAGATTTAAAGAAGGTGGATGCATTCCCAAGTTCCCACGCTATTGCGAATCACAAAAGGGTTTATAACGCCTTCGAGAAGAGTATAGGAACGTCTTCTGGAACTTAGGCGGGGGGTCCTTAGGTGTCTTCCTGGCAAGTTCATATAGATACCATCTTGCTAAGATGGGACTTTCAGTGAAGATGAACTGAAGGTTTATGGGCTGCAGCAGCAGGAAACCCATTGCTCTGGATGCGATTGTTACCGTGCCTTACGTGAAAGACTCATATACCTTGGAGTATGAATATCTTATCCATTTAAAACCTGGAACATGGTATTCTCTAAATTGCTTTCCTTACGAATTTCTTAAGAATTTTAAATGGGTCGGGAAACAGGCATATATGCACATTAGGGTGTATCACTCTCCATAGGAAAGTCGGTACTGTTTTTTAAGGAAATATTTAAAGTTATTTTATTTTAAGACTTCCGCCAAAATATTTCTCAAAAATGTTAAGATTTAAAAAATGATCAGCGGAATCAAAATAATGAGATTTTTTGAGGTATTTTCAAATCAGGCTAGCTCATGTAAATCTTAATATCCTTCCAAAATATCTTGGCGGTAGTCTTAAAAGATAATATATTTTATAATCCTGGTTGAAAACCTGCCACTTTTTTGGTGATGCAACCTAATGCATATATATATTTTTTAAATTTTACTTAAATTTAATTTAACTTTATCAATTTTTTCTCCTAATATGTACAATTAAATTGCCTTCTAATAGTCTAAAATTATTGACTATGAATTTAAGATGCCTTAATTTATGTATCACGATTTAAAAGCCAGCACATAATTCACCATTTAAGAATAGCATTATCATCGATGACGACACCCTAAATGGCGCGCGCGCGTGAATTACGACAGTATTGGCGAAAATGTTGTTTTCGAACGCAAATGCCTATAATTAAATGAGCCATGAATTGGATTAAGCGCGTCAAATATGCATGAAATACCAGACCGAAATGAGAAAAAAAAAAATAAAATCAAACCAACCCAAAAGCGCTCGAGCGTATCCCGGCGAGAAAAGCGCAATGAAATTGAAAGCGACAGCAAACCGCCCAAAATCCCAGAAAAATAAAAAATTAAAAAAAAACAGCAATGTTGATTGCTAGGCAACAAGAATTAAGAACAGACAGACAAAGCCCACGGAAAGGTTTTACGATTTGCTGAAAATGAAATAAAGAAGAGAATCGGCCCAACCCACTAAAATCGTAATTTTTAAGTTGCGAAACGGAACGCTGTGGCGACATTAATCCACGCAAAAATCCCGAACAATGTGCTGCGTCTCACACAACTACAATAAAAAAAACAGAGACTCCAGCTAAAGGCCAAAAACCATAAAAAAAATAAAAATACTAATAACAAATATCGACATATGGAAAAGAAACTGAAGCGAAAGCAACGAATAGTAGTGCCTTTGTACTCGTGCTAGATGCGCCTGCAGACGCTGACACCCTAATCCAAAAGCATGGCAATGAAGAGCAGCACTGAAATTGGGTTGCCATTATGCGTCTATATGTATATACATACATATGTATGTACGTGGTGGCAAGAATGCTGTTGTCACTTGCGTGGTTGAGTGACTGCATCGCGAGTGGAGCGCGTATGCACTGACTGACAATGTACTAGGAGATCAACAGTAAGTGGGCATGGGAAGGAGGCTGAAGGCGTTTTGGTAGGTGCTGAAAGACGGACAGCCAGGGAGAGTACAGCTTGAGCGCAGGCAGACATCCAGCGACAACATAAGTTATGATGTTTCTAAAATAAGAAGATGATCATTTACGCGAAAACGCATTGAAATGCGACGCGGCAATAAAAAAGTAAAAGGCGCAAAGCAGCAACAGTGAAAATACATAAACAGAGATACAAAGAAAAAATGTGGAACCAATGAAACGGCTAATGGGCACTGGAGTACATAAAAATGCGTCTGAAGTGGCGCTGAATCATTTTGCGATCAAGAGCAGCGGCAAAACACCAAAAAAGAACCAAAAAAAAAAACGAAAAGAACGAAGAAACGTTCACAAGACGGGCTGACGCTTAACGAGTTACCGTGTAGCGTACGCCTTACATAGTCGATTTCTGGATCCACATGCACGCAGTTTCGTCGCAACACAATTCATACAAAGCGTAGCAAAGATTTGGCGAAGAAGAATGAACCATGTTGTTGTATGGCAGCAGCAGCATTCACTCATTGCATTGTCAGAGCCTGCTGTTGGCTCTCAGTTGCCACGGCCATCGACGAAGGAGTGCCACAATGCGTGTTCT